TGACAATACCAAGCTAACCAAAGCATACTGTGGTGTCTTACTTCCAAACACAGTTGATAAGTCTGTTCTCTGAAAGATACAAGTTTGCAGAAACTGAATGAGGGCAAGAGAAAGAAGGCAGAAAAGAAAAAGGCAAGCTTCATTTTGCAGGAGGCTACCATCAAAGGGCTGAGACAGCTGCTAGAGTGGTAGGTTCGATGAAGGCAGGGTGACAGAGCAAACACCATCTGTACTTGATCCCCCCTCTTCAGTTCTAATTCCCAGCAGTCTTCTAGGATGTGTGTACTTATTCATCTCTAAATTAAGGAGTGCAGAATTTAATCCATTGTAGGGAAGAGAACACAAGACCTTAACCATTAAACTGGTGATATGTCAGGAAAGAGAGAAGACTGATGCCATTAGCTTATTATTTACTTACCTCTCCATTAACAGGATCATTTATAAGTATAATTTTGTCTGTTTTTGAATATACAAATACCTGGACTATTAAGGACACTATAGATTTCGTTAGTTTACTTAATTATGTCCCTTATTTACAGGCTTGTTTCTGAATATTCTTAGCACTTTCCCACCCCTGGTCTTTGCACCTGCTCTTCCAGCTGCCTGTACTCTTGTCCCACGGCTCTTTAGTGCTTGATCTCTCTCTTGCTTCAGGTCTCTGCTCAAAGTTCAGCTCAGTAGAGAGGCCATCCCTCCACCTTATATAAAATAGCTCCCATTATTCTTAATCTCTTTAGCCTGCTTTGCTTTCCTTCCTATCACTTATCACCCTCTAAGGTGTTACCTATTCCTTCTTGATTGATTTACTGTTTCTCCCCCCTACTAGAATGTAAGCATTGTGAGGGCAAGGACTCTGTTCTATTTGCTAGTGATTTTTTTTTTAAACAAAATTGTTGTTTTAAGCCACTGTGTTGTTTTGTTTTGTTTGTAAGATTTTATTTATTTGAGAGATAAGGAATGAGAGAGAGAGCATGAGCAGAGTGAGGGAGAAGCAAACTCCCCACTGAGTGGGGAGCACAACAAGGGACTGGATCCCAGGACTCTGGGATCATGATCTGAGCCAAAGGCAGAGGCTTAACCAACTGACCCACCCAGGACACCGCTTGCTAGTGAATTTCAGTGCCAGGATCAATGCCTGATATATAGTAACACTCAAGATTTATTTGCTGAATAAATGGGTAGATATTTTTAGTGATTTGAGGAAGATATGATTACTTAATATTGTGATATTAAAATATATTTTCTACAGCCCAATGGAAACAAATATGCATATATAAAACTAAAGAGTAGAAAGTCTAATTAAAATGTTTTATTCCGTTACTTGAAAGTTTATACCATACAAAATAGCTATAACTTTGAGCATTTTCTGTTTCCTTTCTAGAATAATGGCCAGACTCCTTAAAACACTTAAGATTTACTAAAAGAAACTGTCCTAGGCAAAAGTAGGGTGACCCTGGGTGGCTCAGTTGGTTAAGCAGCTGCCTGGGGCTCAGGTCATGATCCCAGTGTCCTGGGATTGAGTCCCACATCAGGCTCCTTGCTTGGCAGGGAGCCTGCTTCTCCCTCTGCCTCTGCCTGCCACTCTGTCTGCCTGTGCTCGCTCTCGCTCCAAATCTAAAAAAAAAAAAAGTATGGTGAGTAGGGAGGAGGACTGAGATATCATGATCTGATGAATACATCATTATATTTACTTATGTCTGTTCATGTCTCACCTTCCATGAGAGTGTGAGCCCCTTGAGGACATGCCTCACATCATACATCTTTTTACTCTCTCATAATGCCTATCTGAATGTGTGGCAAATAGTCTATAACCAGAAAACATTTGTGTAATGAACAATACCTGTGGGTATCATATAAAATTATATTCATATATGTAACATTATGTTCTCCCCAAATATATTTTATATATTTTGCCAGTTTCTAAATCTCTCATTGCCTTGCTTGAATACACAAGCTTGCTGACCAATATCATAAATCTTCAATAAAATTTAAGGGGGAACAGACAATCTTCAAATATGTACAAAGACAAGCTGTCCTAAAAATACTTGGCTTTAATTAGTGATAGCATCAACATTACAGAACATAAAAAGCAGAACGTTTCAATCTGAAAAGTCCACAACCACAAAAAAGATGATGCTACTTCAGTCCAGACTTGCTACCTGGAATGATCTTCCTATGCTATCCGAAAGATTAGCTAACTTTGAGGGGTTTCTGGAAAAATATCCTGTGTGTATTCTTTTAGGTTGCTTCTAGAAAACAGATAGGACTTCTAGGTGGATTTACCATGAAGCTGATAAAGCAAGTTCAAGCTTCAGGACTCTTTCCACGCTCCCACAGGAAGCCCCAATAACTTGCTCTCCTGCTCTTTTTTGAAAAGCCCACACCCCCACCCCACCTAACACACACACAATTGCGTAAGCTTCAGGCGGGTGAAACCCAGACCCACCCTCCGGCCATCCATTGGAATATTAACACTAAGAAAACAAAGCTAGAATTCCCAAAAATAATCCAAATATCATTTATTAATTTCAAGCATTTCTCAATAGTCCAGGCAGAGACAGGCAAGTCCCACAGTCTTTTGTACGTATTGGTCTTATTGGCATTCCTTTTCCCAGGATACAAAATTAACTTTTGGAAAGTATGACTAGATAAAAGCTACTTTCATTAAACAGAAGTATATGTAATCCCAAATAGTTATTGCCCATAAAAACTAAGTAACGCATCGTAGTGAAACCAGATTGTTAACGCAGAACTTATTTTCAATACTAAATACATTGTCTGTTGGTGCTAGGTTTAACAAGTTAAAATAAAAATCGACCCGTTTTAATTCGGAATTCATCTGAATCACGCTGGACTACAAAACTAACCAGTGCAAGGGAATGTTAATCGTGCGATTTAATCAAGGAATTGCAAGAAGTCTTATCCGATATTCACTAGGTTTGCAACCATTGTTGACACACGAAGAGCAAAACAATCAAAAAATTTAAAAAAAAATCCTGCTGTCATCTCCGGCTTTTGGCTACTGAAGTTTTCAAGCTCGAGTACTGATTTCTCCGAGGCTACGGAGAATGTTGGGGTGCGAGGGGCGCGAGTATTCGCCTACAATCCCACACCTTCCTATCACTACTCCTACCCTCTTCCAGCGTTTTTAACACCAGTTCTTCCCCTCCGGTGCGCACCAAGCAATGACCTTTCCGTTGGTGGGTAAAACTCTTAACTGGTAGTGGTCTTTGGGGTTTGTTGTTGTTGTTGAAGTATGACAGCCTGTGTTGCCAGAAACGCCTACTCCACCAGCGGCTGTACTTTGAGGACAGTCCACCCCTCCACCCCTGGGCAGGGCCTCAGGGCATTCCCGTTGCCCGCTCACAGTACGTCAATTCGGGCAACCCAGGAGAGGCACCAGCGGTCTTGGCCCCGGCGGAGACACCCTCGAAATGGCCTCCCTGGGGTGGCCAAAACCCCACTGTAAAGTTACCAAGGAAAGCAAAAAGGTGGCCCATACGCGCTTTCAAGAGGACTCAGCCAGCTCCCTGCCCGGAGCGCGCCCGAGATGGGGGAAGGGAGTGTCGCCACTCAATCCCGAGAAAGGCCGCGCGACCCACCTCCGGCTCCCTCCCGCGCCCGCCCTTGGCCCCACCTCCCCCTGCTAGCACAAAGCCGTCCCCGAGGCGGGGGCCAGGCCTGCGGGAGGCCACCGGGACGCCACGGGACCGGGTCTCGGGTGACCCACGCGGCTCGGGCCGGGAGGGCCGCTGATCCCGGGCGGGCCCAGGGTTCCCGTCCCGGACGGAAAGAACGTGCTTGCCCGCGCTGCCTTCGAGGCGCGGGAAGCCGGACGCGGCCGCCCGGGCCCTCCGCCTCGGCATCCCGGTCACTCGAGAAGGCCCGGCGCGACCCACGCTGCCCCGCCAGCCACGCCCGAGGTGGCGGCCGCCTGCGGGGAGCGCCTGGGCCGGCCGGGCAGCGCAGGGCCGAGGGCTCGCGGGGGCGTGCACGCGTCGTCGCGACGGGGGAGAATCGCTAAGGGCCAGGGGCCTCTCCGCGCCCCACCGAGGTGCAAACTCGGGGCCTCCAATCAATTCCCCTCACTTCCGTAGGGCCCTGTGCTCCCGCACCTGAGGAAGGCGACCAAACAATGCGGGAGAGGGGGGGCATGGCGGGGAGTGGGGGGCGGGGGTGCGACCCCCCGCGACCCGGGCCGCCTGGCGCCTCGCCTCCCGACGGGGACGCACACGCGGGCGCGCACACACGCACTCTCCTGCCCCGGGACGGGAAGATGGCCGTTTCTGCTCCAGAATAAAGGCTCTTTGTTGCGCTCACACAAAAGCAGCCAAGACCCGCTCTTCTCGCAGGCCCTCTGCACAAATCGAAGGAACTCAGATGAATTTCCAAATGGCCTCAGAAGCCTGAAGCGGTGGGAGCGACTCAAGAGAGGGAGAATAACAGGCCTCCCGCCCTCGTCTCCCCAAACCCCTGTCAATATGCAAGTATTAGCCCTGGGAGGCGGGAGCTGAGATCACTCGCAAGGGAGGAAGGAAAGAGGAAAACCTACTTTTACTATCAAGGCCCAAAGGGGGTATTAAACATTCACATTCTTGTAGGGTTTCTCCCCTTACCCAGGGTAGAAACATGATCTGGAAAAGTCGGGATACACCAAAAAGAAAAAGAAAAAAAAGAAAGAAAAAAAATTACCAACAACAGCAACTTAAAAACAAAAACAAAAACAAAAACATAACAAACCAGTTGCCATCAGCCCAAAGTGGTAGTAGAAGCAGCCGGCGCGTGTGATCCACTTACTTGTCCGACTCTTGTGACATGTTTGATCCAATGAACTCGCTCCCCTTTTCCTGGAGCCTCAGCCTCTGGTGAAACTGGACTTTCAAGTCTGTGCAGGTGAAGGTGTGTGAGAGCGCCGGAGATGGCAGAACAAGAGCTACAGGTAATTCTGCTTTTCCGTCCCCCCTCACCACTCTCGCTCGCTCGCCCGCTCGCGCCCTCACCTAGCCGGAAAGGTGGGATAAGGGGGGGCCCCCTCACATGGGGCCCGAGCTCGGAGGCGGCCGGGCGGCGCGGAGTCCTCCTGGATCGTGGCAATGGGCAGCCACAGAGCAGAAAGTGGCGGACTTGGGCGGCCACAGGTAACTTTCTCGCAAGGAGCTGAATTCTTTCACTAAAGGATACAAGCCCGAGGGACGAGCTGCGCGGTGATTGGCTGCGAAGCTCCCTCAGGTGAGCTGCCATTGGCAGAGGCGCGCTCAGGTAAGGCCCTTCTCCAAGTGCAGGTAACTCACTCCGCAGTTTACCTGAGTGGAGCGACGGCACGCTTGCAGCTGTGCAGCAGCCCGTGGGAGCTGAGGCTCAGGGCTAGGAGCAGACTTCTCGCCACGCTTTCGTTCTTCCCGGAGGCCGGCCGGGTGTGTGTGTGGGGAGGGTAGGGGCTTGGAAAAAAGCAACACTTGCAACCACTAGGGATTGTGGGTCAAACGGAAGGCCTAAGGAGAGCTGAACTAAGGTACCCCAAGCCAACCGAAATCAAATGCGCAGCATGACCACAAGGCTTTGAATACCCACTTTAAGAGGACGTTTGACATTGTCAGAAGAGTGAGGGACTGAAGTTTACTTTGTGCTCCCCCGGGGGGGGGGGGCACAAAGATTGCCGAGTCTGTTGTGTAATTGCATTTTTAACATTCTTATCCAGAGCAAACACTTTTCGTGTCCCGATGTGTTAAAGATATCAGGTAGATTACAGATTTTCACATAGAGGAGCATCCTCTCATGAGCTGGGCAGATGGAGAGTGGGATGGTTTTGATGGCGTGAGAAGATCTGGGGGGAAGAGACAGTAAGATGGCCCAGGCCTGTCTCTCCTATCTCAACTCTAGCCTGGGATTCCAGAGCTGCAAACAACCACTGAGTCCCTTCTATAAACCTGTTGTCATTTGACGTTTCCAGGTAGACATCAACATTTACATTGTAATTCAATAGAAGCAGCGACTACAAAGGTGCTTTATCCTTCCAGCCTAATATGGTTGCTGTGGAAACAATTCAGGTTGAAACTGACTTATTGAAGTCAGTTTGTGGTTCTGTGTCTCCTGTTTGGGAACAACACAAATTATCAAAGGTTTCATTTATAACCACTTGTTCCTAAAGAATATTGGTGAAAGGTATGACAGTAGTCTAGTCCACACATGTGAACCATAGAAATAAGGAGGGCATGGAAGGTATATCATATTTTATTTCAAGTTAATACTACATTGCCAGAGATGATACCCAACTTCTATTTTAATCTTTATGGATCAGCTATTTTCCTGAAAACTACATTATGAGACAAGGTTTGGTTGTTTCATGTTTCATGCTCAGCAAATGAATTTAAAAATTTTATGCTTAACTTTTAAAGCATAAGCACACACTTTTTAGAGATAATATAATATTTTAAGACAAAACAATACCCACCTTTTCTCTACCTTCTTAATCTCCTTTCTAGAGGCATCCACACTCCACTTTTAGCCATTTCTGTTGCCATTGGCCTCCCCATTTCCTCCACCTTCTCCTCCTCTTCTTCTCTTAGAGATTTTATTTTTAAGTAATCTCGATACCCAACATGGGGCTTGAACTCACAACCCGGAGATCAAGAGTTGCATGCTCTTCAGACTGAGCCAGCCAGGGGCCCCAACCTCCCTATTTCCAAATAATTTATACTGCTATCTTTTGATTTATCAATTTAGATATTGACCATCAACTATCTGTTGCCTCCTTTAGATAAGGATTTAGCTCTCTCAGACTGCATACAGTTTTCTCTTCCACCATTTTTCCAACAAAAACTTTCCCAGTTTAGGGGTAGTACATAGCTGGTGACTGCAAGTACCAGTGACAACAGAGCCAACTAGTGTACTGTGGTTGTTTTCTTTCTTATAAAACCTTTAATCTGTTTAGTTAGCTTGTTATGCACCCATTCTTATATTTTTTTCTACCACATATCTATCAAATGACAATCAAATTTATTTTCCAAATGATCAAACAATTCCATTCTCCCACTCCCCACCTTCCCCCCCAAACATCCCTCTAAAAGTCCAGTCCTCCTGTTCCAAAGGAGATGAATTTCTCTCAGGACCTGCTATCCAGTTGTCATTCCTGGGACATTCCTTCATCTGCAGAGCAAGAACCCCATTGCTTTGCCCTGGGCCTTTTTTCCTGGTTTATTGCTTCGTTGTTTTTTTTTTTTTTTTTCCCATGGCACATGTTCCAGTAACAACCCAAGAAAGGGTACAGAAGGCAAAACTTGAAATGGCTTTATTCAACCCTTACTTTTGATAGAAAGTTTGACCAAGGGTAGGATTCTAAGTTGAAATTTTTTGTTCAAAAGTTGATAAAAATTGCTCTTTTATAGTCTAATAGCCAGTGTTTCTATTGAGAATTCCAGTGCCATCCTGATTCCCATTTCTTTGTGACCTGGAATTTTTCTTTCTAGGAACTTGAACAACAGTCCCTTTAATTCTAATATTCTGAATGTCATAATTATGCTCCTTAGTTCTCTACTATTCTAAAATCTCACCATGTTGAAGGCTTCCATCAAAGGTCTGCAAACCTGAGATACTCCATTCATACTTAAGAATGAGGTCATAAAACCTCACCAGAAACTTGATGTATGAAGATGGGAAGGAGTGGGCTTGTTGTATGGTGATCAGGTAGAAGCTCTTCTTTCCATACGTTCTTCTTTTCTTTTGGGCTCTTCATTTTCCAAGGAGAAATATCTGCAATCTTTTGCCTTAGGGGACATTCTAGCACCCGATATTCTGGAAGCAGTTCGGGGGAAGGGGTACAGGTGAGTCATTACTTACTATGCAATTTTTCATGTTCTTTTCTTTCCTGTAGGTGCCTTACCTGCCTTTCTTTGTGCTTGGCATACAAGACTCTCTGCTGTTTCTCCAGCTGGAGGTAATCACCTGCCGTCAAGAAATGGGACTGGTGACCTGAAGATCTAACAACTCCAAATGCCCACATTCACTCAGGCCCCTGTCTTTAGCCTCTTCTCCACTTCTGGGATTTTGGGGCCTCTCATCAACATCTCCCTCTGATGATCTCTGGACCTAGGGCACTCTGAAGCTTGATAGCATATTAAGCTCTTTCTGTAGTGACCTCTAGGATAACATTAGAGTGTAGTTTTTGCTGTTGTGTTAAACCAGTTTCTACTGTTCCATCCACCCCTTCTTGCAGACTTGTGTTGAAATACACATTTTGCAGATGATCCCTCCTTCATGCCTTTTGTTCTTGTTTATTTATCTTTTATGTTCCTTTACTGTCCTTTTTAGGAAACAATGAAGATAAACTAGTGTGAGTCAATCTGTCATCTTTAATTTGCAGCCATTTAAAAAATTATCCAGGAATGCCTATGTGGCTCAGTTGGTTAAACATCCACCTTCAGCTAAGGTCATCCCAGGGCCCTGGGATGAAGTCCCTCATCAGGCTCTTAGCTGCTTCTCCCTCTGTCTGCCACTCCTCCTTCTTGTGTGCACGCGCTTTCTCTCTCTTTCTCTCTGACAAATAAATAAAATCTTAAAAGATATATATTTTGTAAAAAAATTTTTTATCAAATTTGTCAGTCCCAAATTTGTTGGTGCAAACAAAAACAGCATTTATGGCCAAACCTTTCTTTTTATTGGTCATTGTGATGGTCAAGATTCCTTTCTTCTTCTCCAACATTATTCCATTCTCAAGCTAGTGATTGTTTATATAATGGTTGACCACTGTCTTTAATTGGAGCAATTAGGACATCAAAAAAAATGAGCCTGGAATGTGCCACAGTATTCATTGAGGACTTTAAAGTTTCCCCACCATTTAGAGTTTGAGGGTCACTTTAGATGGCAACAACAAAGTAAATTTTCACAAAAAAAGCTAGTCATAGAAGAGTATTGTTTATAAACTAAATTATTTCATTTATAAGATTAAAGTTGTAGTTAAATTCACAGACAAGAAAAAGAGTTGTTTATTTTTATTATCATTTTAGTAGTAATCTTTAGCATCTATTATGATGGTTAATTACACTTCCCTAAAGTAAAAAAGTTTAGTATTTGATACTAAATTGTTGCTTTATTATGGTGAATCTTGTATTTTTTATTTTTAAAGATCTTATTTATTTGAAAGAGAGATGGAAACAGCACAAGCAAGGAGAGGGATAGGGAGAGGGGCAGGAGGAGGGGCAAGGGAAGAGACAGGGAGAAAGGAAGAGGGACAAGGAGACTCTCTGCTCAGGGAGGAGCCCATTGCAGCTGGATCCCAGGATCCTGACACCGTGACCTAAGCCGAAGTCAGATGCCTAACCGACTGAGCTACGCAGGCACCCCTATGGTGAATGGTGAATCTTTTATAGTGAGACTTTGGAAGAAGGGGGCCACTTCTGCAGTATCTGGGCACAAATCTCAAGTTTTAAAGGGTTACGGTTCTAGTGACACAAGTCTAGCTGCTGCTTGTTTGCCCACTACAGCTTGACTGTCTTTGAATCTACTGCAGAGCCATATTGTTTTCCACTATAAAAACACTAACTTGTTTGATTGGCTCTTATCCCCAAGAAGAAACCTTGGGCAGGATGAAATGTACCTGAATTTCTGAATTTGAAATCAACATAGACATTTATAACTTAACCAGCTGAGCATCAAAGAGCCATTTCCTTGCAGTTTGGGGCCACTTCTGTTTTCCATAGTTGCACAGGTAGGTGTATTTGCCTGGACCTTTACCAATTCCATGAAGACTCTTGAACTAGTAGTGTGGAATTCAGCTAGCAGTCAGCTGAGGTTTGCATATTTCCTTCAGGATAGCATATGTTTTTGTTTCTTGGACTGGCCATCAATAAGTCTTTAGTAAAAAAAAAAAAAAAAAAGTGGTCCTGTTAAAACAGGGTGTATTGAACTCTAGTGTTTATCTCTACTTCTTCCCGCAGTCCCACTGATAGAAGAATAAGAGAGGAGATGAAAATGTTAAAGATGAGAACGAAACCTGGGGAGTGGAAAGTGACTAAAGGAGGAAGAGACTTAGCTGAGCTAAGAAAGATGAAACGAGCATCTGAGCATCTGTAGACCCTGCGGATCAAGCCTGGTCCGCCTGCAGAACCTCATGAAGGTAGAGTGATCAAGTTTCCCCTTATCATTGAAGATGGAAGTAGGTGGTAGG